CTCTCTTAGCCCTTTTTTGTCTGTGAAGCTCCTGATTTCACCTTCAATTTTGAATGATAGCCTTGCTTGGTATAGGATTCTTGGATTCAGTCCCTTACTTTCCATCACTTTGTATATTTCCTTCTATTTCCTTCTGGCGTGAGGTTTTTCTGTTGATAAATCAGTTGATATTCTAATGGGAGATCCCTTATATGTAACTTTCTGTCTCTCTCTGGCAGCTTTTACTAGTAAGACTCTTACTTTGTCGTTGATGTTTGCCAATTTAATTATGATGTGTCTTGGTGTCATTCTTTTTGGGTTCATCTTTTTTTGGGACTATATGTGCTTCTTGGACTTGTGTGGCTTTTTCCTTCCCAACATCAGTGAAGTTTTCTGTCATTATTTCTTCAAACAAGTTTTCTATTCCTTGCTCCGCTTCCTCTCTTTCTGGCACTCCTGTTATGCAGATGTTGTTTCCTTTTGTGTTGTCCCAAAGTTTCCTAAGGCTCTCTTCCTGCTTTTTAAGTTTTGTTTTTTTGTTTTGTTTTGTTTTTCTAGTTGTTGCCCTTGGGTGGTTTTTTCTACCTTGTCTTCTAACTCACTGATGTGGTCCTCAGCTTCTTCTAGTCTATTGTTGAAACTTTCCATTTTGTTTTGTATTGTGGCTAGTTCATTCTTCATTTCCTCTTGATTCTTACACATGTTGAATTTGTCTTACATCCTTTTCAGTGCCCTTATAACCCTTGCTCTGAATTCTTTCTCTGACAAATTGCTTGCCTCCATTTCATTTATTTCATTTTCTGGTAATTCCTCCTTTTCTTTCAAATAGGTTTTTTTTCTTTGTCTCCCCATTTTTACTGTTCCTTTGTGATTGCAATTATTAACACAAATGCAAAAATATAAAAGAACAAAAGTGGTGAGTCCAAATATTTTCTCTGATTCTGCATGCATTGTATTAATTCACTTTTTTACTTCCCTGTGTCTGTATCATTTACCTACTGGAAAACATATAAATACATATGCATTTACATTTACATATTTATATCTGTATATGAATATATATGCATATGTAAAATTACTGACAGTTAAGCACAAAGTTAAAGATTGACATATACTTATAATGGAATCATTTTTTCCAAGTTAGTATTTTCAGACTCAACATCTGTATCCTTTTAAGCTCTGATTTGTAAATCAGAGAGATACATTATTATCTTGAATTTTAAAAATATTTTATGAATATGTTGCTGTACAAGATCAACTAAAACTATTAAAGCATGCACCAGTCAGAAATGTCAGTCATTTTATTTCCCATATAAATTTGGGCACTTAGTAAGAATATAATAAATATATGATGACAATTTTAAGTAGTCATAGTTTTTTCTATCTACAGGGAATCATGAGTTCCAGAATTCACCAGTAGTTCAACTGCATTTATATGTTTCATTGCATAGCCTACTTGCCTAGCAGTATTGTCATCACAAAGATGAAGCCAATTTCAACCCAAAAGAGAGAAAGATTGAGTGCTTACAGAACTATTGAGGTAGAAGTTCTCCCAAGTCATGTCAGTAAATATGCCCAACCTTTAAAAAAAATCAGGCCAGTTGGAAACTAATATGTACATTAGTCATGCAAAATAAAACTCCACTCCATAGTCATTAAAGCTGTTCATAAAGATTTCATTTATCTTCCTCTCAGGCTGATGGTTGGTTTGTACTTCTTCATCCCTTTTGAAGATAGGCACAGACATTAAGTGACCTGCTTTAGTTAGTGAACTATGAGCTTCCATGCAGCATCCTCACGAGCTATTGCATGCTTCATTATATTTTATTTTCTTATTGTAGAAACAAGAAGGTGGAGCCTTCTTCAGTCTGTGTTGAGGATGTGAATAATGTAAAACAAATCCCCCTACATCCTACCCAAGTCTAATCCAAGGTGGATATGGAGTATGAACTATGAATAAGCCTTTTTTCTTTTAGCCACTGAGGTTATAGGTTCTCTGTTGATGATACATAACTTAGCCCATCCTGATAAGTATAAGCTCTAATAATATAATAGTAGATCCTCTGACTGTTTTGCTAGCCTCATGAGAGAGTAGCACAGGAAAAAAAAAAGAAAAGAATTATCAAATTATAAGGAATATGGGTGAAATCAATTGACACTTGCAATAAAAATAATTTTACATTGGTTTGAAGTGAACTTGACATAAATGTGGCTATAAAAAGAAGCTTACCTAAGTCTTAAGGACTCCCCAGACATATTAAAGAAGATTATATGTTATTGGGAAATGGGTTCCTGGGTTGTGATTGCTAATTTCTCTAGAGACCAATCGTGAACAAGTTGTAGATCAACCATAAACTTCCGTTTATAGTCAAATAGAATTACTTCTGTTTGCTCCTCAATGCTTTGACATTACCATCTGAAAGTTTCCAAGAGCTATTAAAAAAAAAAAACTGGGAAAAGAGCAGCTGTTGAAACCAAGGTTTTAAGAAATGAAGAAAAGGACTTTACATTTATTGGTCAACTACTATGCATGGAGCATTATTTACATTTTATTTTTTAATATATTTTTATTGATTTCAGAGAGAGGGAAAGAGAGATAGAAACATCAATGATGAGAGAGAATCACTGATTGGCTGCCTCCTGCACAACCCCACTGGGGATTGAGCTCCCTACCAGGTCAGGGCACATGCCCGGGAATTGAACCGTGACCTCCTGGTTCATAGGTCTATGCTCAACCACTGAGCCATGCCAGCCAGGCTATTTACATTTTCTTATATCAGCACTACAATGTGAGGTGAATATTGTTACCTCTGCTTATCAGATGAGGAAACAGAGAACTTTCCCATTAACAGTCAGTATAGTAAATGACATTGAACTACCCCCACATAACTAACAGCTATGCATTCATCAAGCTCTTGCACTACCTAGGGCACTGTCAGAAGCATTTATTTTCCCTAAGAGGATCATAAAATAGTTGCTATAACAAGCCATAGATGTAAATAAAGGTGTAAGAGTATAAACTACTGTCAGCTAACTTTTCTATACATTTTTTTGTATATAACAAACACCACACATATCCCTAGGCAGAAGTCAGTGAGAACTGTGGTAGTTTGGAAGGCAAGGTGATAGTTGATGTTAGCTTTGTGTGAGGGTGAGAGGAAAAAGGCGTGGGAGCAGAAATTTAAAGATAGAGAATAACAGATGAAAAGCACATAATACATTTGGGAAATAGTACCACTTTGCCTGAAGCATTCCTCTCCTCCAACCACCATCTTGCAAAACCTTGTATCCAATGGTTGTTTCTCATACAACCATTGCTGACTTCATTGGCATATATCTTGAGCCATCCCATAGGGATCCATACTCAGAAAGACCTCACACTTGATTTAATGTTCTACTATCACCATATTGAGGTTCTTAAATTTTTAACAAGGGGCCCCACACATTTATGTCTTCTTTCAATTAAGTAATAGTGGATTGGTCATATCAATGAACATTTCATTTGGAAGGAATTATGAAACACTTCTATTCCAGCTAACTACCAAGTTAGAACCATTCTACCAAATCCCAAAGAACTGATTCTCCAGGGCCTGGATAAATACCTACAGCAGTGATTTCCAACACTGCTGTCCATCATAAACCTTGGGAAGCTTATTAAAATCATATGTTCCTGTCAACTATTTGAGACCTACTGGAACAGTCTTTTATGGTAGAGCCAAGGGAAAGCCAAGGAGACACAACTTGGACCCTTGGTTGGCTAATACAAGTTTTACCTCTTAAAATTGATATTTATGTCTTTGACATTTATTTAGTAGACCATTGGATGTCTAATGACTGATTATTATCCCAAGAAAGACTGTCATAATCCAAGGATTACATATGCCACTCATTTAGGTTCTACACCTATTTGTACCCATTCTTCATAGAAATCTTGAGTGACCATCTATTGATACTTAAATATGTCCATTGTGTACTCAACCACCAAAGTATTTGTTTCAATCACACAAAGTAGGCTGTCTTAGGCAAGTTCTGGTAAGCACATATTTTTTCTCTCTTCACATTTTCTGAAATGTTCTAATACCTAAGGGTATTCCTTAGATTGACATCTCAGGTAGCTTCCTGTAGTCCTGCCCCTTTTAATATGGTTCTGGGCTAATACTGTGTTTTCTTTTAAACAAATTTTCCATGGCATTTCTTATGCAAAGCCATGGCTAAGAACACAGGTATAATGCTTACTGCTTTCATAATAGCCCATTGCTGATGGGCTTTAATTTCAAAAATGTTCTTTCTTATGGTAACCCGAGATGAGATGTACTTCATTGTAACTTCAGCTAATTGAACTAATTCTATTATATTTTGTATGGAAATCTTAAAAATATAGCTGAAGGTAAAGCTTATACCCCCCCCCCCCCGCACCAATCACCATCTTGCAAATCCTTGTATCCAAGAGAGCAGCTTGTTTCTCATACAACCATGGCTGACTTCATTGGCATATATCTTGAGCCATCCCATAGGGATCCATACTCAGAAAGACCTCACACTTAATGTTCTGCTATCACCATATTGAGGTTCTTAAATTTTGAACAAGGGGCCCCACACATTTATTTTGCACTGGCTCTATAAATTATATTGGTAGTCCTGCATACAATAGGATTTTTAAAAGCCTTCCACAGTGTGGGTATTATTTAATGTGCAATTCCAGTTTGTTCCTTTCAGTCCATACACCTACATCTGAGCACAATACACTTAAAATATTACCTACCACAACAGGTCACACTCAAGTTTGACTACTGTCTGTCTTGTTCAGGAGAATCTATATATATAAAAAGCCAGCGACCTGAACGGCCATAACTACCCGACAACCAGTCGCTATGACGCCCCCTGTAGCCAGAGAAACTGCAAGATCGGGGGTGGGGCAAGCAGGCTAACCTCACAGCCCCTCCCCACTGCTGGCCTGCCCCTGATCAGACTCTCCCATCCAGATCAAGAGCAGGCTGCAAAGAGCCTGTATCCGTCCTGGCAGCCCCAAGTCCCTGGGGTTGAGAATTCTGATGGCCCTGCCCAGAGAGTAGAGGCACCTGATGGGCAGGGACAGGGACCACAGGCCTCCAGGGAGTACCGCAGAGCTGGCAAAGAGAGGAGAGGGCCTGCGGAGGGGGAGAAGGTGAAGCCAGCAGACATCAGCCCAGAATCAAGCCCTTCCCCCTGGAGGCAGCGGACCCTCAACCCAGAACCCCAGCCAGAATCAAAGAGCCTGGGGGAGGCTTCAGGAAGCTCTACGCAGAGCTGCGTGTTGAGAACGAGAGACGCCGTGAGGCCCTGACCGAAACCAAGCTGTGGCTGGCACAGCTCAAGGTGGAGCCTGAGCACACCACGCAGAGGCAGGAGCGTTTTGCAGAGAGGCCGGCCCTCCTGGAGCTGGAGAGATTTGAGCACAGGGCCCTGGAACACAAGGCCACTGAGCTGGAAGAGGAACTGAAGGGCCTGTCCAACCTCCGGGCTGACAACCAGTGCCTCAAGGAAGAGAACGCGGCCCTGATCCACGTCATCAGCAAACTGTCCAAGTGACCCAGGAGGACTTGACCATGTACCTGCATTTACTAGTATACAGCTGCTTTGCCACACACACAACTTCCCCTGTGTGAACATGAGTGACAGGGCTGCCAGGGAGTCTCTGAGAAGCCATAACCTCCCCTCTGGACCTCCAGGCTGGGAGGGGAGGACAGAGCCCCCAGGAGCCAAGGGGGCCATCTGAGGCCAGGATGGAGATGGGAGGCTGAGCCAGGTGTGTGTGTGGGGGGGGGGGCTATAGGTAAGACCAGGAAGGAACTGAGGACCAGGAAGTGCCAGGATCAGTAGCCAGGACCAGAGTGGCCACCCAGAGGTCCCCTCTCACGTGTGCTGCCACCAGTCACCCCTCCTGCCCCTGAGCAGAGATCCTAGAATGTGCCAAGCATCCCGCCGGCCTGGGCCAGGTGGGCCTGTATGTAGGGTCCGTGTGCAATAGGGAGGGACATCTTCTATTTTTTGCTGCCCTCTCCCTGACGCTGTCTGGGGCAGGGGGGAAAGGTATTTTTAAGACATAGCACAGGCTCCACAAATAAAAGTCATGAAGTTGCCAAAAAAAAAAAAATAAGAGCGGACTGTAGAGAGCACCTGGGAAGGCACATGGGCATTTCCTTAATAAATTGTCAGCTGAATCCAGGACGATAGGCAAAGCCATGTCCTGGAAACACATCTTGGCCAAAAAGGCAGAAGTGTTCTCAGCTTGACCTTCATTTTTGCCCAGGTACCAGGGAGTGGGTTTTATTATGTAAATCCAGCCAAGCACCAAGAATGAATATGACTCGGGCCCACCCAAGCTCCTTTGTCTTGACCTTTGGTGAAACTTCCTGGTATTTGGGGTATAAAATAAACACGCTTTATCGGTGCTGGGTCCCTGTCTCTCCATCAGAAGAGGACAGCGGTCCCACTCCGTCCTAGCTTTTTTCTTCCATCTTTGTGTCTGTCTCTTTCTTTCATTTTCTTAATCCCCAGCCACCCCTATTCAAAGAACCAGACCACTCTCTAGTCACGCTGGACGAGGAAAAGAGAGACTCCTTCATAGCGGGTGGCAAAATGCCCCCTCCCCCTGGCCACCCCATCCCTGATCGCAACCCCTACCCCAATAGGAGACGGGGCTTGCCAGCCATGACCCCGATGGGCCCGATGGGCCCCCACCACCATGATCGGGCCACAGCCCCTCCCCCTGGCCAGTCCCGCCCCTGATCACCCCCTCATCTCAATAGGGGTTGGGGCCAGCCAGCCAACCTCCTGCAGCCCCTCCCTGCACCCAGTCCCACCCCAGATCAACTCCCCCACCCCAATCAGGGGCAGGGCAGGCTGGCCAACCACCCATGGCCCATGGCGCCTCCCCCAGGCCGCTGGCCTCCAATTGGAGCCCCCCACCCCATTCGTGGGCATGGCCAGCCAGCCCAC